ATTATTCTATTATCAAGATTCATACAAGTCCGCAACAATCTCTTTTTTTCCTCAATTGTATTACTTCTGCTGGCATGTTCATAGCCAGGGCAAAAATTGTATTATTCTATTATCAAGAAACAAAGGGAGAGAAAAAAAAGAACTAAATGAACAAAGATCTTTCCAAAGAAGAGCATACCTGTGAATCTTCACTACCATAGGCTATGAAGATGCAATTCAAACCACCAAAGCAAGAATAGATCACATACTTCCCTTGTCTGTGACCCACATACTTCAATGGTTTGCCCCATTTCTCGGCAACACCCCACAAATGGATCTCTTGGCTATTGAGATTGACTATCAGAAATCAACCATCTCTAGAAACAAAAAGCGATGTGATAGCATTCTCCTCTGAGATAATCTGCTCTGATTTTGTCCTGAATTTGTATATGCGAATCTCTTTCTCATGAAAGACACTGATCAGATGATCCCCATCAAGTGTCACAGCACGGTCTGAGACCTTAGGCAACCTCCCCCTTTTCCACGCCTCCAGCTCATTGCCATTGAGGTCCCATGTGTAGATACAATTTTTTGGGTCAGAGCTACCAGAGACCAGCCTCTTTGAATCAGGAAACCAAGCACACAAGGTGACAACAGGGGTCCGCTCACCAAATGTGTGCTTGCAGTTTCCTGTCTCCACATCCCATAGTTTGAGGACTTCATGGTTTCCACATGTCAGTAGCATTGTATCATCAGGGCTCCATGCCACAAAAGAAACAGGATTTTTGTGGTTGCACAGTCTGTGTTTCAATGACACAAAACCTTCTTCTGATACTTGAAAAAGAATCCCAAAACTGGAATCTGAAACTAAAGGCTGAAGTCGAATACAGAGCCATGACACACACTACATGTGAATTAGTATGGTTGAGGAATCTCCTACAAGAAATTGGATTCTCCATGGATAGACCTATGAAATTGTACTGTGACAGTCAAGTTGCACTCCACATTTCATCTAACCCTGTTTTTAATGAGAGAACAAAGCACATAGAGATTGATTGCCACTTTGTGAGGGAGAAGGTCCTTACTAGAGAGATAAGCACAGAACATGTGGGCTCAKGTGATCAATGGGCAGATTTGCTTACAAAAGGCTTAAGCTCAGGGAGAGTGAACTATATATGCAACAAGCTGGGATTATATGACATATATTCTCCAGCTTGAGGGGGAGTGTTATAGCTAGTCGAATAAGGGTAGATTAGTCATTTTATTTCTGTTAAGTTATGTGCTTATGTGACAGTTTTAATAGAGATTTCATGTCCCATACTTAAGTGGGGGCATTTTAGTCTTTGTACTACTAATTAGAGGCTATTCCATATTAAGGGTCGACTGATAGGGTTTAGTCTATCAGGTTCGACTGCTTTCTTCTTCTTCTTCTTCTTCTTCTTCTTCTTATACTTCTTCTTCTTCTACTCTTCTCCTGGTTCGAACTACTGTAGCTACAGGAAAAACAGATATCCTGTTCTTTTGTGCTTCAAATTTGGGATTTCTTTTGTACTCTCTTTGGCTGCAGGTGGGTTCCCCCTCAAGATGTGGCAATACTTTTTAACCGTGACTTCTTAAGGCAACAAAAGAAAAGAGGGATGGTAATGTGGAAAGAAACAAAGGCAGCACTATGTTGGGTGGTATGGGAAGAAACATGGTTTCAAATGTCGCAAAATGTTGCTATTGTCGCCCGACATATGTTGATGTCGAGGCTCACCGACATGAAAGTGGATGGTAATATAAAAATTACATTAGTTCGGTCGATACTTCCTATATTTCGGAAACGTAAACCAAATCGGTCCAAATAACCAAAAAAAGATAGTTTTTCCTACTATGTTGACAGGATGTCGACTAATATACATTCATAATATAATACAATATATTAATATAAATTATTCCATTAATAATTTCTATTTAATATTTCAAATTAAATAGTTATAAAAAAGAATTAACAAAATATAAAAACAAAAGAATAAACTAATTACTTTATAGTATAAAACATAAACTATTTTTCAAGTAATAAAATATTAACTAGCTAGTATTTTTTAAAATATTTATTAAAATCAGAAAATGTTTATTAAATTTTATAATAAATCATATTCTACATTTAATATAAAAAA